AAGCTTGAGAACAGATGGGAGAGTTCAGTGAGCAGGAGCAGGGCTCTTGGATCAATCTTAGTTTTGTGTGGACAAGAAAATCCCTGTGAGGTAGGAGAGAGTCCAGATGGTGGGGACGCTGGCTAATTATGGATGAGAAGGATGCCCAACACTGTGAAGCCACACAGGTATTTTCCAGGAGTATGTTCCCAGTCACTCAAGAGAGACCAGGGCTGCATGAGAGAGAACATGAGTCCACCCACCTTCAACGTCGACACTTACATTGGTTAGGGAATCCCCTGGTGGCCCAGTGGTTAGGACTCATCACTTTAACTATGGTGGCCCAGGTTCAATTCCTGGTGGGGGAACTAAGATCCCACAAGCTGTGCAGCACAGCCCCCCAAAACAAAAACAAAACAAAACATACCTTATATTGTTTGGAAGTGAGGCTTCCCTCAGCCTAAGGTGCAGAGTGAATACAGGAGATGAAGGGCCTGGAGCAGAAGTAGAAGATTAACGGCCAGCGCAGAACTTCACCAGCCCCTCAGGAGGCCAGCGAGCTCTGGGCCTCCACCAAGGAGAAGGGAGGGGTGAGCATTAACTCACTGGGCTTCCCCGGAGGCTCAGCGGTAAAGAATCCTTCCTCAGTGCAGGAGACACAGGAGACATGGGTTCAGTCCCTGGGTCAGAAAGATCCCCTGGAGAAAGAAATGGCAACTCACTCCAGTATTTGTGCCTGGGATATCCCATAGACGAAGGATCCTGGTGGGCTACAATCCACGCGGTTGCAAAGAGTCAGACACGACTGGGCACATAAACTCATCACTTATCATAGTAGGTGGAAAAACAAGTATCTGACGCCAATATTGGTTTTAAAATATGTATAATAATAGAAAAAAGTTACAAGGATATACATCTTAATGGTGGATATGTCTCAATAGTAAGAATCTAATTTAAAATTTTTTTCTTTAGTTTTTCTTTAACTTCACCTCCTCCTTGAGCATGTAAATCTTCTTAAAACAGAGAAAACAAAAAGGATTTTCAGAACCAGTTGTAAAGACTAGTGGATCAAAGTAATGAGAATGAATACAGTGAGATTTTAATTACATAGAAATCCAGGTTCTTACTAGCTATGTGAGTTCTACTTGGCTTTGCTAAGCCTGTTTCCTAAACAATGAAAGGGGATTATAAAGTCTTGTCCCAGCGAGCCGTTGCCAGCATGAACTGAGATGCAATGTACACGAAAAGTCCCAAGCACAGTACTTGGCATAAAGATAGTGCTTAATAAATATTAAACTCAACTCTTGGTGGTCAAAGCTCTCCGTTGCTGCCCCCGGAAGGCCAAGCACCTCCAGCTGTTTCAGAGAGCAAAACAGAATCTGGCTCTCTTGGCAGAGCCCCTTACTGGACCTGCAGCTGCCTGCACACCTGACACTCTCCCATCTTCTTTTTCTTGCCATCTGGAGACTAACAGGATCTCATTCCTTAACCCATTTTCACCCATTTGCCTTCCTTCTCTGTCTCAGTGTCCCAGCTGTCTTTCAATAGTATTTTTTGAGTACACGTGACATTATTTCAACATAACATACAATTGCAGGGCACCTATGTTCTAAAGATGGCCCCAGGCTCCTGCTCTCCATTCATATCGTCCAGAAATATTTGTATGAGCTCATAGTCTCGCTGAGAATTTAGATCCTTCAACAGCTCCCACGTGTTGCCTAACTGCTATAAAAGGCACACACACCATGCTGTGGAGACTCAGAGGGTAGATTTACCAGTGCATGCACATGCGTATGGGAGAGGAGGGAAAGAATGGAAGTATTTAGGATTTAAAGAGTAATGATTTCTTCACCCACATGTGTTTCATATACTGTCTTTCCTAAAGAGAAAAGGTGCCCCTTCTGCTAAAATGGTTTCAAGGCCAGTTAAGCCAATGCCTGTGTGGGGCTCTTTCCTCTCATCTTTAGATTTGTTGAAGTCTGTTCCTATACTTAAAGTTTGTGGAAGGCTCGATCGTCCGATGACGTTGCTGGGATACACAGCAGGTCCAAGGAGTTACAAACTAGCTCAGAGTGTTCTCCTCAGACATTTTGGAGATACTTGGAATACATACATTCTGATTAACAAGCAGTTTTAAGACTCAACGGCATGCCAAAAGAAGGCGATGTTTGAGATCTTTATTACTTATTAAACAAACATTAACATCAATGGAAGTAAAAAGAGATTTACCCATAGTTCAGATTCCCTCACAAACTAAGATTTTTTTTCTCTTTTCCTTATTCCCTTCTAGTCGTTCCAAACCACAAATTCATGGTCATGATAATAATTGGGGCTTAGATGCAGTTCAATATTCTACTTCTTTCTCACAGCCAGATGCATACACAGAATGATGTTAAGTGCAGCAATATTCAAAACCAGGGCAGTGTGACAACAGCCCCTTCAGGCCCGCGGACTGACAGTCCAGTGAGACACACCCTGTTCTGCCTGTTATTTATGCCTCTGGCAGGGAAGCCCCTGACAAAGCCGCATGTCACTGGAACACACGCTCTTTGTTCGCAGAGGTGCATGCCAGCACCGGCTGTGTCAGAAGGGACAGTACCGGCTCTGTAGTCTCCCCTCTGCCTCTTTTGCTTTCTTTTCATTTGCTGCACATTGTGGCTATGTTTATTAATTACTTTGTAGCTTAATCTTATAAAACACACATTTATCTTTTGAGTCCTCATACCCCTGAGTTGGGCTTCCCTGGTGGCTTAGCTGGTAAAGAATCTGCCTTCAATGCGGGAGACCTGGGTTCGATCCCTGGGTTGGGAAGATCTCCTGCAAAAGGGAACGGCTACCCACTCCAGTACTTTGGCCTGGAGAATTACATGGGCTGTGTAGTCCATGGGGTCACAGAGTCAGACACGACTGAGCGACTTTCACTCACTTCACCCTTGAGTTGCTCATAAGGAGAGGATAAGGACCCCAAGATTTTGCCTTCTTTCCGTAAGGATTGATATCACTTCTCCCATGAGCTACCAGGTTCTACTCTAGCACAGAGCTGCCACATCACCTTCAGCATCTCCCCTTTACCTACAAGATGGCACCTGCAGCCTCTGTTTGATATTAAAGGCTCTCTACAGATTGTACCCAACCTACTGTTCCAAAGCAGATCCCCACGCTATATGACTGCATTCCACAGACTGATGGTGTACCAGAAGAGGCTTGGGGTCGGACCCATCTAAGTTCAAACCCTGGCTCCACCTCTTGTCGGCCACTTCTGCATCTCTAAAAATGACTAAAATACAATCTACTATTGTATTAAATTAGAAAGAACAGGATCAATCCCTAAAAGCGGATGCTCAATCATTGCTTGTCAACTCATGTAACTAACTTACATGCTAGCTTCATCTCAGGGCCCTATGGTTCTCATAAGCTTACAGTTACAGACTTCCTGTGACATCCTGAAGAGCACTTCCCTCGCTCACAGAGATGTCTCTAAGGCTAACATTTTAAAGACTTAGGAAACAACATACTAGAAAATTTTTTTTGCTTTTTTCCATAATCCTTCTAAAATTTTTTTGCTTTGGCATTTTAATGCATCTGATGTTTTAAAAATTGATAGTTTTGTTTGCCACTAAAGAATTTAAGTTAAATGGAAGAGTGCAGTCTTTCTTAACATTAAGAAAAACTGAGGTTAACGCATAAAATTATGCTTTTCTCTATTCATAAACTGTTCTCAATCTTGGAGCCCCTCGTCTATACTAGAATTAAGATGGTATCTGATCTGACAAGTGACGTATTTTAAGCGGAATGTAACCTTACATTACATCCTGGAGGTCTGCAAAGCCGGCCTAGGGCTCTAACCCTGTCTCTCAGGGAGCTCTCGGAGGCAGCCCATTACAAAGGCTACCTGCCAAGCTTCCAGAAATGGAGCCCATCAAGAATTCACACACCTCACGGGGGTGCTCTTAAAGATAAAAGTATTCGGGGAAACTCTAACTCCGAGGCCCCATTAGAAATGCTAATTGCTGCCTTCGTTAGCCTATATTTAAATGTTAGAAAACCCAGGGAGATCCTCCAAGACTGGGGGACTCTCGGCACCTCTGTGGCTTGGGCAAGCGGCCCGGGCTACCCGGTCCCCGCCGGCCGCGAAGGTCGACTCCGCCCGGTGCCACGCGGTACAACCCCGGACTGCAGGGCTCCTGCCGCCGACTGGGGTCTTCGCAGCACTTCCAGACCCATCCGCACAAGAGACGCGGGGCTCGGGCTGCTGGCCCCACACGGTGCGGAGGCGCGGAAGGTGAACCCGAAAGCCCTTGTCCCACGCTCTCTACACCTTTCCCGCCTTCGCGGGTGTCGGGCTGGCCTGGTCGAGTCTTCGCGCAAGAACTTGGTCTTAGGGACCCCCGAGTCCGGGCAGTAATTTACTCCCCCCAGCCCTCCCAGCAAACGTCCAAGCGAGGGGGTGGAAACGCGCCTCCGGCCGCGTGGAGGAGGGACCCCACGGTCTCAACTCAGCGGCAGGCGGGGAAGCCCCCAGGCGGGTCTTACATCAGCCACCCCACGTACGATCGGAGGGCGGGAGTAAGTCGCTCCAGTCCCCGGGGCTGCGCCTTTCTCCCCCTCCCACCCCAGCCTCCGCCCCTCCCGCCGCGCCTCTTCCCCGCCCCGTCCTCGGTGCGCCGCGGCTGCCGAGCCGAGCGGCGCCGCGCGGGGCCGAGTCGAGCCGAGGAGCCACCCGCGCCGCGTCGCCGGTTTAAGCGCAGTGCGGGGCCGCGGCCGGGGGCGGCGGTAGTGAGACCAGAGCTGCGCTCCAGCCCCCTTTTCCCTCCATGGTTTCTCTCCGCTCCCGCGAGTAACTTGGCTCCGGGGGCTCCACTCGCCTGCCCGCACGCCGCCCGCCACCCAGGACCGCGCCGTCGGCCTCTGCCTCAAGCAGACCCCTTCCGACGGCCCTCGCTGCGCAGGCTGGGACGCCTCTCCCCCCTCCGCCCCCGCCGCGGAAAGTTAAGTTTGAAGAGGGGGGAAGAGAGAGAAACATGGACATGAAGAGGAGGATCCACCTGGAGCTGAGGAACCGGACCCCAGCAGCTGTAAGCAGACCCCCTTCGGGCGCCCTCTCCCCCCGATGACTTGCATGTAATGGTGGCCACCTGCGGGGCCCGGACCGCGGGTTCGCCGGCCCCGGCGCGGGGAAGAGCGCAGCTCGCGGGCTCGGACGGGGAAGGCGGGCGGGCGCTGAGGGGGGAGCGAGCGCGCGGGGATTAACTCTTTGGAGTCCGCGGGAGCCCGCGGCCGTCCGGGGAAGGCAGTGGGGGTAGGGGAAAGCAAACTTTGAGCTCCTCGCCCGCCGGGGTCCTTTCCCTGAGGAGCGCGTGTGCGTGTGGCCGGCAGCGAGGGAGGGAGGAGGGGATTGTGTAACGCTGGGAGCCATGTTTGCAGCCTCCCGGGATGCGCGGCCGGGCGGAGCTCGGGCCTGCCGAGGAGCCGCGCGGCCAGCCGGAGCCGGGCCCGCTGCGGGCCAGGCTGGGCTCCGCGCGCCCTAGGCCGGCCGGGGAAGGGGCTCGGGGTGCGGGGGAGGGTCTCCTCAGGCTAGGCCTCGCGGTTGGCGCCGGCCGGACTCGGGCAGGGGCCGAAGGGCGAGAAGGGGGCTCTTCGCCTCTAAGGGGGACGGGAAGCCCCCTTGGGCGCCAGGGGGCTAGAGCGGGCGCGGCTGGGCGCGCGCGGAGCGGGGGAGGGGCGAGTCCGGGCGGCGTAGGTGGCGCAACCGCCGCCCCTCCCCAGGCTAAGTTTGAAAAAAGGACGCGGTTCCCGCCATTTTTCAAGCCTAAAAATAAAACTTTCTCCTCCATTTCTCTCGCTCCCCTTTCTGCCCCCGGCCTTCCCCCGTCCCGGCCTCCCAAGGCGGGCGTCGCTCGGCCCGGCCGGCCGTGGTGGCGTAGACGGCTTCGCCCTCCCCCCGCGCCGCGGCGGCGGAGTCCGGGGGCCCCTGCCCGGGAGGCTGGCCCCTCGGTGTGGGCGGGCGGCGGCTCCTCGCGTCAGCCCGGGCGCGCCACAAGCCGACACAGCGCCATGTTGGCTAGCGCTCGTCTCCCTCCGCCGCGTGAGCCAACAGGCTGGCTCGGCCTGCCAGGCCCCGCTCGTCTGTCACGGCGGTGGCTGTGGGCCGCCGCTCCCCGGGCCGAGCCTGCGGCTTGTTTGGCGCCCGCCTCGCCAGGGCTCGGCTCGTTCTGGCGGGAGCTGCGCGCTCCGGCCGCCGCCGACTCATCTCTTGGGCGCACTGCCGTCCCCTCCCCCCTTCTTAAAAGGGCAACGCCAGGCGGCCGCCTCCGCCCGAGTTGGGCGTCTAGGGGGGTCCGGGCGGGTTTCGGCCGGGCTCGCGGGCCGGGAGGCCTCTGCCCCCGCACGTGCTACAGGCCGTCGACCGAGGCCGGCGCTCGCCTGCCGCGGCGGGTGGGCCTTTAAAGCACCGTCTTTCTTCTCTTCCCCTCGTCCTCCTCGCGACCTAGAGCAGCTTCCTGCGGCCCTCGCCGGGGGGCCGCGCCGCTGCCAAACCCCCTCTTCGGGTGAGTGGCGTCCTCTGTCTCTGGGGCAGCCTAAGGGAGGTCCTTCCATCTCCGCCCGGGCTGGCGATGCGCTCGCTTCGTGCAGTCAGGGTTGTGGTAACAAGTTGCCCACTTGTGGAAATTGGTGAGCCCGGCCTTCACTTGTGTGCACTAGGTTTTGAATCCCTGAGGCCCCCACAAATGAAGTGCGGGGTTGTGGCACCTCGTGGCCTCCCCACTCGTCCCTGGAGGACCTCGAGGGGTGAGCGTCTCGACTCGGTCCTCCGAGTTTTAAGGTTGAGGTTTGACCGCGCTCGTCCCTGCCGTCCATCAGTCAGACATTTTGTTTCGGCCACGTGCTAGTATCCTGAACTGTTAAGCTTCTTCACACCGTAAAACTTGCAGAGTTGTGATCTCATTTTGAGGCGTTGTTAATTTAAGACCTTTGAATTATTACTGCGTAGTTCCAAGTCAGTAGAATATGAAGGTATTTGATTTAGCCAAATTTTCCAAAAGAAAAGACACACGAATCTTCACAGTGCTTTAAAATGTAACATTTGAATTCTTCGAATGTGCATAGAGCACCGTTGTTCCTTCTGGGAAACACAACTGGCCTGGTTGTATATGGATTTTTTTTGTATTTGAAATAACTAATTATTGCTTTTTAAAATACATATTCATGTGCACGTGTTAATTTCTCAAGAATCAACTTAAGCTTTGCCCTTTTGCCAAAAACAGGCTAAAGTCGTGTATCTGTTTAACTTAAAAGGTTAGTTTCTCAGTTGCACTATTCACATATCAGGTACTCAAGCCACAGGTGACTATTGGCTACTTTATTGGACTTCACTCTCCTACTGTAATCCACTGGTTTTATTAAATAAATATTTGTGTACCAACAGTACGGCAGGGCCTGGAAAAGCAGCGTGCACAAGGCAGAGAGCAGCCCCTTCCCTCCTGAAGCCTCAGAACCCCGTGGCGCCTGTTGCATTGTGCAAGTTGGAGGCCGTGGGAGAGTGTCGTGGGAGCCAGGCGAGATTGTGGGGTTAGAGTGGCTCCCATGGGGACTCAAGGGAGCCTGAGCGGGCCTTAGGTTTTTAGGAGAGGAAAGCTTTGACCTTAAACAGAAGGCTTTTTGAGCTGTGGGCGAGTGGGGTTGTAGATTTCAAGGAAATTTTAAAAGATTAATTTAAAAATGTTTTGCACAAAAGCATCCTTAAGGTAAGTGAGAAGTTACAAAATGATTCTAAGTCAGCTAGTCAAGTGGCTCCATGTATTTGTTGGGGAGCCAGCTGTTGAAGTAGGCTTGACCTCTGGGAAAAGAGGAAGAATCCTACCTCTTGTAAGCCTATTGGTGTAAGACCAGAGGCTCTTAAATGTGCAACAGTATATTCCTTGGTTGACCTTGATGTCATCGAGTGAGATAAAAGACTGAGGAGGGTAAGTAGAGGTTTGATCTTCAGTGTTTGTGTTTGAAGATCAGATGGGCTTTTTTTTCTGTCAGTATGGCTTCTTTGTTTTTATTTTTTTATTTAGAAGTTTGAAGAAGACCCTGGTAACACTTTACCTTCTTGTGTTCTTTAAAATACATAAGACAGACCAAGAGAATAGGTTCCATTTCGCCTGTTACTAACGTGTGCTGTTTACCTGAGGGAGTGGCTCATAAAGAAGTACATAATTGAATTTTTTCTGAGTCCAAAACACCTCTTTATATCAGAAGTTTGTTCTCATAGTGGAAAAATGGCTTAAAATGGCATAAAGTAATCTTCAAAAAGAATAGTGATCACTATTTTAAAATACAGGCAAAGGGTAGGAATTATTTTATTCAAAACATTGGTGTTGTCAGTTGTTTCATTGAGAGCAAATTGTGTAGCAGTAGAACATAGCAGGTGCACCACAGAAGTTGATGGTACCGTCAGATGTGACACGTGCAGTAATGAGATACTGATGCACTCTAGATCTAGATCTGGAATTTAGATATATTCCAGAATTGGAGGGAAAGTGTCTTTATGTGAGACTGTCATTTTCCTATTATGCCAGACATGCCACTGATAGGAGCACCTCGTTAACAATGAGTCTAGGGACATCTGCCCTTGATGTTCCAGTCTGTTCAAAGTTAGAAAGTCATGCAGTTAACCGTGGTTTGCAGACGGGGCACTGGTGGGAACACTGGTGGCCTGTATGCTAAACTGAGACATTTCATGTTCCACAAATAAGAACACTTTTTCCTTAGTCCCAAGATAGTGACAAAAATTTGTTTTAAATACATCATGTGAGGGGCCTTCCCTGATGGTCCGATGGTTAGTACTCCATGCTTCCAGTGCAGGGCGCGTGGGTTTGAACCCTGGTCAGGGAATTAAGATCCTGCGTGCCGCACGGCAGTGGCCTTTAAAAAGAAATCTATAGCGTGGGAAAAACCTCTCCCCCAGCTTTTGGCATTTATTGTACCTCGCTATTCTAAACTCAAGGGCTTATTCAGATGTGCTGCATAGCAGCCAGTTGGGTTCTTTTTCTTATATAGAACATATATTTCTTGTATTCTTTAGTTTACAGCGTCATTGAATGAAAAATTAGATACAGATAAGCTAAAGAAAAATAGTAGATATAGATTTAAAAAACTTAAAAAAAAACCCAGGAGCTCACACACACCCATTCTACCACCAAGATACTCTGGTATAGTCCTCAGGAAAAGATTTTTCCGAACTTGGATCTTACTATTAATGAATATAATACCTTGTTAAAGTATAGTAAACATCTATCTTGCATTGTTAATGTCTGCATAGATCATAATTTAACCATCCTCATTAGGTGGTTAGAAAGTTTTTTGCTGTTTTAATTAGTATTGTAACGAACATTTTGTATTGTGAATCTCTGCCAAATTGCTTTTTAGAATGGTCCTCTCTTTTACCTACATGCCAGTAGGATGAGTGTTTCTTTCCTTCATACAGGCAGTTTTGCCACTCAAACACATTTCAGTGCTACTAATGTTCTGTTGTCATTTTGCAGACATTCTTTTAAAACAGCAGGGTGGAAGGCCTGGAATTTGGTTAACTCAGAAGGACGGGAGTTGTCAAGGGTGGCAGGAGTGACTTCTCCGTGTTGTCTTTTCCTCCTCTTGTAACAGTTGTAACTGATAATTGGGGAAGGTCACCCCAAGAGTAGCTAGGTAGGTCGTTCAGTAAAGAACCTGCCTGTAGTGCTGGAGACGTGGGTTCGATCCCTGGGTTGGGAAGATCCCCTGGAGAAGGAGTCGGCAACCCACTCCAGTATTCTTGCTTGGGAAATCCCGTGGACAGAGGAGCCTGGTGGGTTACAGTCCATGGGCTCCCAAGAGTCAGACACAACTTAATGACTAAACCACCACCAACCAGGGAAATAGGAAATGAGACCAAGTGGAGAGGATGAAAGGAAAACTCCTTGATCTCCTCTGTGGCTCCTAGCCCCAATCTCTGTAATTTGGCTACCATGTATTTCAGATTTTTCATGGGAAAACTAGAGTATCAGCTTTGCTGATAGCTATAGAAAACTAAAAAATTGCATAGGAAATAGTTTGGATTTTTGTTTTTAGTTCTTAAGTGTTTACCATAAATTTGTGTTTGAGGAAAAAGAACTAATTTAGTTGGAAAATAAGGGATGAGGAAGAGTGAATTTGGCCCCCAAAGTTGTCATGTATCTTCAAGCAGAAGGCCAACTAACTGTGCCTTGGATCAAATAGTGGTAAGTGGTACACACAGAGGTACAAGTGCCTGCCAACATTCCCTCCCGGGGAGGGTTTGGGACATGAGGAAAACTAGGGCTGTTTTTCCTGGATTCGAACCTTCCACTTATTCTGGGTCTGTATCAGGAGGCAGTGACAACATAGGTCCCCCATCCTGTCACACTCGGGAAGGACTTCACGGAGAGGGAAAGCCTGGTTAATCTTACATGCTGTTGACATAATGCCTGAGAACAGACACCTTTTCCCCAAAGTCCTGTTTAGAACTTGAGGCTGGCCGGAAGGGTGCTTATGGCAGGCTTTTCAGGCCTGTCATCCTTGGGCACAGCACTGAGGGAGCCTCCTTTGGGCTCTGCAGTAATTTCCACTCCGCTGTCTGCCTGTTTGTGGCTCATCTTCTTGCTGTGACTCTGGACTTGGTTCTGGGGTTAACACATTTCTTTACTGCATCCTCAGCCTTGCTGGAAAAGTTCAGGGACATGACTTCACTGCTGAGCCCTAAGCCCTCCCCTGTGCTCACCCAATAAATTGCTTCCTCCTCCTCATGGAGAAAATTAAAGGTCTCAGGTATGTATGCCCTGGCTTCCCACTCCCCACTTGTAAACTTAGCAGCTCCTTTTCTTATCCTGTCTCTTCTCCATCCTTGAGAGTAGAATGACATCTCATTTTTAATACGTATCTTTTATGATTTGTTGTAGTCAAATGAGTTTGTTTACTGATGATTTACATTTTTATGACTTGTCTGCTTTTTTTGTCAGTATTTCTTTTGGGTTATTTGTTTTTTCCTCAGGGTAAAACCAATATGCTCAAGAAAAAGGTAACTATATGCATATACCTAGAATTTCCATATATCAAGAAAGGTAACAAAAAAATCTTGAGAGAGGTTGATTGTCATTTTAAGATAAAGAACTTGTAACTCAAAAGATTCTGATGTTTGTTTTTTTACCTAGCAATAGATTGTGAGGAGATAATCCTTATTACAAAAGAAATTTCACATAAAAAGATAGCATGGCATTATTTATAATAGGGAAAGTTGGGAAACATGTTCATTAGGGAGTATTGTAATTTATTTTACATCATATCTTTTCATTTCTTTAGACATTAAAAAGTATAGTTGTTAATTAAGTAATACTGTTTCATGTTACTATATTTAAAATATACAAGGACTGAAAAAAATACCAAAATATTAAGTGACAAATAGCAACATGCTTCGCATGTGATTATGCCTATCATCAGAAAGTAGTTTCTTTCTCTATCTTTCCTGTTTCATCATTTCCTCAGTCCCTACAATCCTGACACAAGGTCCTATGCCAATTTTTCCATGTTTGACTGTTGTAAATGTTCTTTCTCATATTGGAATATCCAGTTCAGTTGCTTAGTCGTGTCCGACTCTTTGTGATCCCATGAACCTCAGCACGCCAGGCGTCCCTGTCCATCACCAACTCCCGGAATATGGTGGTAACTAAAATAGGCATGATCCTGCCATCGTGATGCTTGATGAAATTTAAAATCTAGTACTGACTCTTTTTAAACTTAATTTTTTTTAATAGATCAATAATCTCATTGTAAAAATGTTAGATAAGATTATGGAAAAGTCCCCAGGACAGTCACTTTTACTCCCTGAGAAGAATATAAGAAAGTGAATGTGTGACAGGTTACATAAATGAAAACATTTCCTGTATTCATCCCCCAGTGTCTCCTGGAGATGTCTCTCCTTGATGGACAAATTATCTATAGTTTTTTCAACCCTCCCACTTGCCCCGGTGACTTCTTAGGCCTTCTTTCCTAAGCCTTTCTATGTGTTTGAAACCAATGCTTCACCTTTGGGCACTGCTACTCTGATTCTTCTCAAGCTTCCTTTGCAGGATCCCCAGGGTTCCATCCGTGGTCCTCTTCATAGGAATTCCATCCCCTTCCACTACTCTCTGCTCTGATGACTTCCATACACAGAAGTTAGACCTTGAACTTCAAATTCTCCTGTCCAGCTCCTTGGGGATACTTTCACCTGGACTTCTCATGAGAACCTTAAACTTGATATCCTTTGTGTAGTATTCATTACATACCTGCTCCCCTCCCCGTGCCCAAAACCGTTCCTTCCTATTTCCATCCAGTTGCATAGTTCCCATTTCTTTTAAACCAGAACCTTAATTCCTCTCCATCTTCTTTCAGACCCAACAATTCAGTTTGCAGATTTGGACCACTTTTAACATCTTTTTTTCCCTACCAGTTTCTCTTTCTTGATTCCTATTCTGCTGAAGCAAACAGCAGACTTGTTCTCTTTGACTCTAATTAAAGTGGAATTTTACCAGTTGAGAGAAATGTCCAAGAGGTGATTTCACCTTTGGGCTGGGAGGCAAAATGGCCATCTAAATTCCTCCTTATTTGGCTTTTGGCATATTGGTGTCATTCTGTATAGCATTTTTGGATTCTCTGTCAGATATAGTTGTAGAAAAGCCCCAAATCAAATGGAAACATTTAGTTATATTGCAATATACTGCTTAGGTTGGTGGGTAGTTAGAGTTGACTTTTTTTTTTAATGATTTTTTGGTTTTCCTTTTTTTAATGCAAAAGAGACACATGTCCTTGTCATTCTCCTACACCTTTTCCCAGAGGTTATTTTCTCAGCTTTCACTGTGTCTAAAGCACTACTTTCTATAACAGTTCTACTTCACCTTGAGGAAACTGAGGCACAGATAGGTTAAGTGACTTGCCTAAGGTCACAGAGGTTGTAAATGGCAGGGCTAGAAATTGACCCTAAGCATCTGTCTCTGGCGCCCAGCTCTCCTCAGTTTACTTTAAGTTTTCAGATAGGCTAATTTTTATCAGAAGAGGGAAGACTATCCATAAAGAGAAAAGTGGAAGGAAGGGAAGAAAGAAACAGATGTAATGGGCCTGTGTGCATCCTGAGAGCGAGGCTTCTGAAGAGGAAGTGGAGTAGTAGAGTGAGAAGTTGTGGCTGTGTGGGTATCCCCGGCTCTTAAATCTGTCTCCTCCTCTGTCGGTGGGGGCAGGGGGGGGTGTGGTAAAAAGAAGAATGAGTTAATTCTCCATAAATGTTAGCAATTGCTAGAGTAGTATCTTTGGGTTTTGTGTGGGAGGGTAAAGGTACGAACTCCTGTTTTCATTTTAGAGCTATCACACATGCTTGATTACACTTTAATGCCATTGAGTGTGTTAGATTTACTGCAAGAATGCCTTTGGCAGGTAAAACTTATTTGCATCCGTGTAAATTTATCAAAACGTGTTTAAAACTAGGACGTGTCATAGTCAACCACAGAGCAAGAATGGCAGTAGAGATTAGCATGGTGGATAATAACACAGTAGACTTTATTAAGTAATCAGTATTCAGAATCTTCACATGTGATACTCTTGGATGGGTTTGAATTCTGAATTTCAGGACCTCTAAAGGAGATTTTATGGCCTGAAAAAGGAATCTAATATCTAACTGTTCTCTTCCCTAGAAATATCTTTTTTACACATAAAGTGATCTTGGTTTTGAATTAAGAGCTCTTGGATCTTGGTCTTTTCCTAGTGTCAAGATAATCTTAGTAAGGATTAATAAGACAGAGGTAGAAATGTTAGTCCAGAAACCTGTAGCCACAGTCTCTTAGTGACCTTGCTGGAAAAGTTAAGTTTTCTTCTTGTGTCAGTCTCCTGGGCCTTGTGGCCTAAAGGAGTTTATGGGTAGGATGGGCCAAGAAGAGAGGTGGGTATCTTCTCCTGCACGTGTAGTTAAAGCGCCTCTTGGAACAGCCTTGGGAAAAGGACTAAGAGCGGGTATTGTTTCTCTTCACTTAACATCTTAAGAGCTGTAGTTTCTGTCTCTGGAAAGTAGAGTTAAAATCTTTATTTGTAACCATGGTCTGACATTTCACCCTTGATATCTATTAGAATATCGTTGTTAAAGGCTTAATCATTTTTTCATTTATTTATAACTATGATCTGGGTCTAAATAGAGGCTGCCCCTATATGTGGGTGATTTGTTGAGTATTTATGGTTGGAGGTTTTGCATTGTTCTTTGTTTTCTGTATGTTTTTGAAAGCTTTTCTTCCCTGCTTTGTCACCCACAGGTTCGAGAACTTGTCCTGGACAATTGCAAATCAAATGATGGGAAGATTGAGGGCCTAACAGCTGAATTTGTGAACTTAGAGTTCCTCAGTTTAATAAATGTAGGCTTGATTTCAGTTTCAAATCTTCCCAAACTACCTAAATTGAAAAAGGTAAGTGCTTTTTCTTTTTAACAATAGAAGAGAACCATTCTGGGGAAGGGAAAAATAAACAGTTCTATCTGTAAGGAAGCATTTAGTGTAACAGAGAGCACATGGCCTTTGTAACTGGGCAGATCTGGAACTCAGCGTTCCATCCAGCTCTATCATTTCCCTGATGGGTGACTCTTTCTCAGATTATGTAATCTCTCCAAGACTCAGTTTCCTCACCCGTAAACTGGTGATACCATCTGATCTTGCAGAATTGCTATGATGTTTGGAAATAATACATGTTGGATGCTCAATAAATAGTTATGATGAATAATTCAGTACTCAATAATTGTTATGGATTTGTTGCTATAATGTAACTACATTTTGTTCTTAGTATGCTCTGGTTTAGGAACCATGGGTTCCTCCTGCTTTTCATGTTTAATGTTGATTAAGGGAGGATTTAAGTATAGACCTTTCAAATTTGTAGCATATGATATTTCAAGTCCATTATGTAATTCTTAATGACTAGAGAGTTTAAAATGTGTTGTGACTGATTGAGAATTCATTTAAACAAAACTGCTGTATTTCCCTTGCCTAGTTAATGGTCCATTGTTAGGGCTTTATTGGTCTAATTATAAACCAATCACTATGCTCTCTTAACACTGCCCATCCCTCACACACAACGCACACCCTCATCCTTGCCACGCACCAAGAAAAAAAAATTCTCAAGAAAAATGTTTTTTTTGTGTCTTTGCACATTAACCTGTCACAAAGCCTCTGCCAGAACTGAAAGAAACTTATAAGATCTTCTAGCCTTGTTTATAGGCACAGACCCAGCAGTAGACCCAGACAGGTACAGTAATTTGCCTAAAGCCACCCACAGAAGTGGTTCAGTACTAGAGCCAAAACTAGAAGCATATTTCTTATTTGCTGACCCACTACCTTTTCCATTACATGTGAAAATGTGTGTGGTCTTGGCAGTGTTGCAGAATTCTCCACTGTTTACCTAATCTCTTTATTAGGGAGTTTAAGTTGAAGCTTCATCTAAGAAAGATACACATAGAAAACAAATGAAATTTAGGCAACAGATAGGTAGGCTGTTCCTATATGCTTGCTTGAATCTTGAGAGGGACTTGTTTTTTGGTTAAATACATGAATTAAAATCCAGAAGTGCTGTGTGTTTTAAATGCTCAGGCAGTCCTCATGAGTTTCACGGCAACCCTGCTATTAAAAAGAATTCTGTTATATTTAAATTTGTAAATTTCTTTTCTTTTTTCTGATCGGTATCTACTTTAGAGGTTCAAGTGTAATCCATTTTTGTTTATGTAGATTATCATGACATTGGAAGCTCTAATAAGCCCATTAGAAATTATGATGGCATTTTAGCCCGTGTCTACACGGACTTGACACCAGCGGGCCCCTACTGTGTGCTGTGTTCTCTTCCGCTTCCTGAATTACTGTGGTCTCTACTGCCATCCTTACTCAGAAAGTCACGAGAGACAGGTTCTGAAAGAAATGTCACAAGTGTCCTAAGTTACACATTGATTTCATTTCAAAAGAAATATGCCACCAAATGTTTTGGCAGATTGCCTTGTTATCTCTCCTCCCTAAGATACTCGTGTTGAAAGGTTGTGAATATTATATATGTCGACATTCTAACCAACCAAGAGAAATTTTAGGTATTTTACTGGAATACCCATCAGAAGGGGGAAACAAATGTATTGAAATGTGGTATTTTTCTCTTCTGAAATGCTTAAAAACACCTAAACAGACTTCTTGTCTTTAAAACTCTGTCTTTCAGTGAATATTTCAGTTTTTTAGAGTTCTTCTGTTCTGCATCATCTACTTCATTTCTTTGCATGCCAGACTAAATTACATAAGTTTTCCTTCTATTCTAGGTACATAGCATAGGGAGGAGCACATTGAAGCTAGTCTCCCTGGCTGCAAATCATAGGTTCACCGCTGTAACAGCTGTGTAATCTTGGGCATGTTGTGTAGTCTGTTCTTAGTTCATTTTCCTTATCTGTAAATGGGGGTAATAATTTTACTTACCCATAGGGTGGCTGTGAGATCAAATGAGTTCATGGATTTCTAGTTCTTTGAGCAGTGCCATAAGCACCTGGGTACTTAACACTTAAGTACTATGTAAGAATTAGATACACCCACTCCAGTGTTCTTGCCTGGAGAATCCCAGGGATGGGGTCCCACAGAGTCGGACAGGACTGAAGTGACTTAGCAGCAGTAGCAAGGATTAGATACAGTTACCATTGTTGTAGGCAGTTAAAGTAGAATTGAAACCAGCTCTCATCTTAGTGCTCTCATCTGCTAAATGAAGTTTGAATTAGATGCTCTCAACTGTCTTTACTTTTCCAGGCTCCAATTTCTTTCACTGTACTGTTCCTTGGTGAAGGCTCATTCCTTCATTGGCATGCCACTTACCACTCAACTTGACCTGCAGCAAAGAAATTAGAATCCTTGTAAAGGCTCGCGAGAGACTTGTGTAAGAAGTGGCCTCTGGGGAGCTGGCCCCCCAGCCCTGAAGCCGGTGCCCCAAACAGCCCCTTTCTTGAAGCCACGGAGCTTCTCTCAGGGCTTGTACCATCCCTGTAGCCTTCGGGGCGGCCTTCCCTGGTGGCTTCCAGATGTAGGGCCCCGTGGCGAGTCCGCACTGGACGGAAACAAGCTGCGTTTCAAGTAGGGATCATGAGTTTTGCTTGACACACAGAATAGCCGCTTAGAATGCGTTTACCTTTCCTGGCACATACAGCATATTGCAACTTCTCAAAGAATTCCTTTTTTTTTTTTTCTTCATTTATTTTTATTAGTTGGAGGCTAATTACTTCACAACATTTCAGTGGGTTTTGTCATACATTGACATGAATCAGCCATGGAGTTACATGTAGTCCCCATCCCAATCCCCCCTCCCACCTCCCTCTCCACCCGATTCCTCTGGGTCTTCCCAGTGCACCAGGCCCGAGCACTTGTCTCATGCATCCCACCTGGGCTGGTGATCTGTTTCACTATAGATAATATACATGCTGTTCTTTCGAAACATCCCACCCTCGCCTTCTCCCACAGAGTCCAAAAGTCTGTTCTGTACATCTGTGTCTCTTTTTTCTGTTTTGCATATACGGTTATCATTACCATCTTTCTAAATTCCATATATATGTGTTAGTGTGCTGTAATGTTCTTTATCTTTCTGGCTTACTTTGCTCTGTATAATGGGCTCCAGTTTCATCCATCTTATTAGAACTGATTCAAATGAATTCTTTTTAATGGCTGAGTAATATTCCATGGTGTATATGTACCACAGCTTCCTCATCCATTCGTCTGCTGATGGGCATCTAGGTTGCTTCCATGTCCTGGCTATTATAAACAGTGCTGCGATGGACATTGGGGTGCACGTGTCTCTTTCAGATCTGGTTTCCTTGGTGTGTATGCCCAGAAGTGGGATTGCTGGGTCATATGGCAGTTCTATTTCCAGTTTTTAAAGAAATCTCCACACTGTTTTCCATAGTGGCTGCACTAGTTTGCATTCCCACCAACAGTGTAAGAGGGTTCCCTTTTCTCCACACCCTCTCCAGCATTTATTGCTTGTAGACTTTTGGATAGTCAAAGAATTCTAATTTGCTTCAACCCACTTTTTAGGTTAGAAAATGTATTCACTGATGTTAGGGCCCAAACTGTTAAAATTAGCAGCTGATTAAGAAAATGCAACCCTCTCATCCTTATATGTCTCTCCTTCCCTGAAGTGTTCCTAGGATCTGTAATTTGGGTTTAATCAAGCAAAATGAACATACATGCCCTAATGAAAAATAGAGGTCATTTGATCTTGGTAAGTGTCTGAGAACTGTATTTGTTGCTTCTAACGCTTCAATGACGCCTGTTTCTCTGTGTGTTTGTGTGCTGTGTGCATTTTTCTCTTAACAGCTTGAGCTCAGTGACAATAGAATCTGTGGAGGTCTGGATATGTTAGCAGAAAAACTTCCAAATCTTACACATCTAAACTTAAGTGGAAATAAACTGAAAGATATCAGCACCCTGGAACCTTTGGTAAGTAATTGAGAATTTGGAAACCAGGACTTATTGGTCATTTTCATTTTCATATTTCTTTATTGTGAGGGAAATAACTGGAAATAATGAGAAGGTGGATTTTTAATAATACTTTTTATAGAAGGAGTCCAGAGTAAAAGATCAGAACCTTTAATTACATGTATTCCTGTGACTTTGCTCTCCCTCCCTGTTTATTGTGGCCGCTAACTTCAAAGGGGAATTTTTTTCTTTTTTGTTCTTTTTAAATGTCATATATTGACTATAGCCTTAAACATTTATCTTAAAAAATTTTCCCCAGACTGGCCAGGCTATTCTATACTTTTATAGAAAAGGCTGTCTATATCGGGTTGGGCATCTCAAAGGCAGCTCCAGTGAGGTTTAGGTCTTCTGATTCACAATTTTGAGCTCCAGCTGGATCACTGTTTGCATGGGAACCCCCAAATTCTCCTCCTCTTACATGCTGGGATAAACTATAGAAAGTTCCATTTAAGTGCCAGTTGGGTTATAGACTTTGTTGTGTGACCTTGGGCAAGTTGCTTCTTCTCTCTGGGCCTCAGTTTCCTCCCTTATGAAGCAGGAAGGATAGCGATCCCTGCCTTACTTACCTCACTCAGGAGTTCTGAGAACAAAATAAGGTAATGCACTTAGATTGTGAGTTGGGAAGCTGTGCTGATGGGTCTAGTGAAGCGGAAGTCGTAGTGACCAGAAAAGAGCTTAGGGAGCAGCGCTGGGGGCCTGTTGCTCTCCTTGCCCATGAAGTTTGCCTTTTTTTTTTCCTTGTTGCAGGTACACTCAGATAGTTGGGCTCCTTCCTTTCTCACTAGTCCTGTTTTCTTCTCAGTTAATGGCGGGTGGGGGATAGCCCCACAGACTCTTTTCTTTTGATGCCACCTGGAAATTCCTGTGATTTCAAGATTGTTAACTGACTTTCCCCCCTAAACACGACATTCTATTCACAGACATACAATTCTATTTTAATAAGGCTGATGAAACTCAAACCTGTTTCATACCACCCAAAGAAGCCTGTGGCGGCTTTCTTTTTTTTTGTTTTACATAAAGTCAGTATTTCCATTGGACTTAACTTGCGGACAGTAATTGGGAGAGGGGCTGGTCAGGAGATAAGAGCTGTCTTTCGGGATCCAGCAGAGCAGAAGTCAAGAGGAAAAGGCATCCTTCTGCTGCCTCTCACCTTTTCTGACATCACAGTATGTTAAAATATTTGAGCTTCTTACCATTTGCATAAAGTATTGATATTTCAAGGGAAGATAAGCGTTAAATTATGACTTCCTTTAATGAAGATTTCCTGCTGGAACTAACAAGAGTTTTTTTCTCTCCTAATCAGTAATCGAGGCTGTACTCCAGTGTAAATTTAATCACTGTTTACCAAGACCCTTTGTTCTTATGTTTCATTAAGTGGACTGCATTCAGCTTATTTCTCATAAATGTTGGGGGCCTGTTGCTCACCTTTGCTCCGTTTTTTGCCCCTTTTTCTGTTAGGTACACTCAGACACCCAGGCTTCCTCCTGTTTCACTGTTGTTTTCCTCCAAGTCAATTCCCATTTCTTGTGTATAAGCAGACTTTTATTACAGTTTTCCTTATTCAGAGATGTTAACATTTGCCCATTGTATCCTCATGTAATGCAGAGAAGAGAGAATGTCATTTTAGAAATGAGGAGACTGAGTTTAATTACACAGTAGCTGTGGAATAAATGGTGAGCAGGAATTCAAGTCCAAGGCCATTCTTTCCACTGCTCTTGGAACCTGTTCTTCTCTTTTTAACCTATAAATTTACTCCATACCCCAATAGACCTAAACAGGGAGTTCCAGTAGTAAATTAAGCGCTGATGGTCTCCCTTCAGTCCCATGGGCTATACTAAACCTTTGTTGTGTGTTTAATGACAGCCCTGTCAGTTCACAGTAAGTGTAAGCACAGGAACTCCTCTCTAGAACCGAGTACCGGGCCATGCCTTGCCACGCGAGATCACTGGCCATTGCCTAATTCTCATGGCAACCTCAGTCGTCTTTGATGTTTCATCAGAAGCTTGTATCAGTGTCCTAGCATTCAGAGGCAGAGCAGAAGCAAACATTGTGTAGGAATTGTTTGCATGAGTGCTCCCGACCTGATAAGTGATTTATATAGTAGGACCCTTTGGCAATGAAAGTCGTAATCCCCTGAAACGGTGAAGTATGAGAAATAATCATTATGTAATATTTACCATTTCTGGAGGATCTACTGTGTGCCATACACGGTAGTGGATGCTTTCTGTATGTTATCCATTAATAATCCTCGACATTTCCACAAAATGGATAGAAATAACATGGCCCTCATTTTACACATGAGGAAGCTGAGGCTTAGGAGAGGCTGAATCCCTTGTCCAGAGTCACACACTTGGCCTGCCAGTGACAAAGCCATGGCACCGCGCGCCCAGGACTGGGGAAGGCAGAGCTCCTGCTCTTCTCCTCAACTTGCTGTTCAGTTCCTGGGGGTGCCAGGTGGGTCTCCTGAAGTTATAACTTCAGGATAAATAATATTGTAGGAGAAGGTGAAGGGGGGAAGTGTTGGGTCCATTTTAACTTCTCAAAGTATTCTTCAGTGGGGAAAACACCATCTCATCCTCATCAACCACATGCATTTTGAACACCGTCTACGTTGAGCCCAGTTCTTACAGTCAATGCAATGATTGTGAATGCCTCTGCTTACTACAGGGACATTAATCGAGAGACAAAGAAGGCATCAATTCAAACTTCCTTGGACACCTTTTTTAAGAGACCTGGGCCATCCAAACCATCCCCCAAAGCCCTTCTAAATTCTAAGAAGGCAAGCAAAATTATTGTTAATAAAATGTTTACTGTTTATTATGGCTAGCCTATTAGTTTTAGGCCAAATTTCTGAAATGGTAGAGTTGTGATTTTTTTTTTTTAAAGCAGTATTTACATATTACATTGGGATCCTGAATAATCTGTGTGTAGTGTATTTGGGGTCTTAAAGCACAATTTTAGAGCTGTAAGCAGTTCTAGAGTACTCCAGTTATTTGGGGTTTTGTTGTTTATTTGCTTTCACTTCATTTTCTAGCATACTGTTAGGCACGTCTGAGTTATTCATAATGGTTCCGTTCTGAAGAAGTAGCAAAAAATGTTATAGATTCAGAGTTTCAGAAACTGGGAAGCCTTGGAGGCCCTGTGTACTAGGCTAGTCAAAGGAGTCAGAAAACGGGCTCGGGGCACTGTTGAACATTAAAGATCAGGAGTTGTATGTATTTTTGCACATCCATTCCTAGGAAATAACGTTGGCCAATAAATGGCTCGTTCCTTTGAGTGAAGAATTTTATACTGAGCCTCTGTGGGAAAGCTACCAGATTTACTCATGGTTCTATCTTAAGTGGTATAGTGTCAACACACTTGGGAAGAGAAAAGTTTCCCCAGTTACCTGCTGTGGTATTTCAGCATTTTTTTCCTCTTGGGCAAGAAGTCATACCTGGACATCTGGGGGTCAGGCTGTCCAGTAGGGAGCCTATTCTGAAAGCTACATGACACAAAAATCATTCTCCCTACAATCAGGACTGGGGACAGCTTTCTTAAGACTTTAGGTACTAACTTAATAAGCACATTATTGGATCCACAAACTCTTGGATAACTGCACATTGGTGTTTTGAGGAATACATTTGCCTGTTGCTATAACCCTGTTCCGTGTTCCCTGCCTGGCTTTATGTTCCCAGGGGCTGTTCAGTGAAAATAAAGCCAGTGTGGGAACCTTTTTGATGAGGAATATGAAGGGTGGTGAGTGCGGGGGTCGGCAGCCCTTGCCTCTGCAGGACCAGGTGGTAGATCTAGGCTTTGTAGGCCATGTAGTGTCACAGCTTCTCCACTTTGCCATTGGAGCACAAGAGAAGCCATACATAATCATAAACAAGTGAGCTTGGCTGTGTTCCAGTAAAACTTAGTAACTCCCAACAATTACACAGATTCTTCAAGTTTTGAAGACAGTTTTGTTTCGTCTCTGTGTCTTCCAGGTGCTTGTGAAAGTTGAAGGAGATTTATCAAGAAAGCATCAGTCTTTAAACAGCATTCATTTTTTGTAATTTACTTCATAAAGAGATCCTCTTAGTAATATTTAGAGAATGCCAAACTTTTTGTATTGACTCAGAACCATTAAAGAGTTAAGTTTAGGAATCCATATATCCGTGTTCCCCACCCCCACTCCCTACTGTAAAAGGCACCGAGCCACATAGTAGCTCACAGTTTGTGTTTGCTCTTTATCGGTTTGCCCCCTCTTCTCCCTGTGAGGGTCTGTTGTCACTTACTGTTGCTCTCTGCTTGCTTGTCTGTAATACTGCCTCTGCCCTCCCAATCTCTTAGTTCACCCTTAATCAAAACTTAATAGACCTGGTATTGAAATACTAGTACACTGAGGTAATACCAGATGATCTGAGTAGAATACACAGATACTTTCCTATCAGTTTGGCTGCTCGGAAAACTTCCTGGGCCAAGTTTTTAGATATTAACTATTTTAGATAATGAAACAGGTTTCAAACAAATGAGTTATTGCAACAAAACTTCAAGGTATGGTAAAATCAGAAGATTTTTGTATCAGGAAGGTCTGGTAATAGTATCAGTCTTTGCCCCCAAAACTAAAAAAGAAGAAAAGAGTGAAAGTTTCTCTACTCCCAGTTTCAACTCTTGAGTTCCCCTTGTTTTCCGCCAGCTTGCATCGACTCCTGTCTTCCCAGAAAACATCCCCACACCTTGTGCTTCACTTTGCTCCGTTCTCGAGTGTTTCGCATCTGTGTCCCCAAGTAGAAATGCCACGGACCTTGATGCTGACTGAATTGGTGTGACTGAAAGAAATGTTGCCCTGTTTTTCTACCCCAAAGCACTGATTGCTTGATAACCCAGCATGGTCTTATTGGTCGTTTGATTACTCAGGTCTCTGATTTGTCTCATACTGTAAAAAGATCCACCTTTAATATTTAAAATTCATATTTCTTAAGATTATTCATTCATAGTGCCAGAAGGAAACAGTTCTCTGAGAGGACAGTGGTAGAAGGGAACACCAGTAAGAAGCTAGTGACCAGTCATAAAGGTTGTGATGGACTTGAGATGTTTTCCTATGTACAAGGCTGAAGAGGCTTATTGAATTCAGAGCCTAGAATTTTACCTCTGGGAGATGGGTTTTGCTGCTTATGTTCCTTTGGTTTAGGAGGTGTGTCTCTTGATCCTTTCCTTCAGAAAAAGGCGGGCTGTCTGAGGAGCCTGGACCTGTTTAACTGTGAGGTCACTAACCTCAGTGACTACCGAGAGAGCGTCTTCAGGCTCCTGCCCCAGCTGACCTATCTGGACGGCTATGACCGAGAGGATCGTGAGGCCCCAGATTCAGATGCCGAGGCGGACGGTGTGGATGAAGACGAGGATGATGAGGGTGAGTGGGCACTGAACGCTCTTGCTATCAAGAAAAATAATTCATATCCATGCACGTAGGCCTTCTGTTAAATTTGGAGTTCTTGGGACATTGAATCTGCCTGCAACGCAGGAGATCCAGGTTTGATCCCTGGGTCAGGCAGATCCCCTGGAGAAGGAAATGGCAACCCACTCCAGTATTCTTTCCTGGAGAATCCCATGGACAGAGGAGCCTGGCTACAGTCCCTGGTGTTGCAAGAGTCGGACACGACTTGGTGACTAAACCACCAGGACTTTGAAGCCTTCAAATGATTCAAAATAGACAGTGGTTTGTTAGCTAATTAGCTTTGAATTTGGAGCCTAGAGATCATAAACTGTGCTCCAACCCATTGAAGTGGTTTATGGTTTACCAACAGGACCATTGCCTCAAGTCTCTTGCCTTCCTCCCAGTAGCTCCCCTTTCCTGACTACTGCCTGCTCATCCTTACCGACTCACCTTTGTCAGCACTTGGGGCAGCATGCTGTGGTGCCGGAGTTCCTGTGTGCCTGAGCATTCCCTCGCTTACCTTCCTCACGGCCCTTGTTACTCTGCCAGTCTTGTCTCTTCTGACTTTGCTGTGATTACCTTCTTAGCTCTTCATTCACAGGCCCTTGCACTTGGTGGGTACTTGGTCCATGGTTTTTATATTCAAATATAAATATCTTTCCTACTTTCAATAGATGGCTAGAGTTTTAAAAGTTAATGATTTGAAAGCACTGTATGTTGATTTCCATCTTCTCTTTAATAAAGGAAATAATCTCTGTCTATAACAGGGAATTAGAATGTACTTTTTACTTTTGACATTTGGTCAGGTTTTTCATCCTGTTTCCTCCAAGAGTCTTAATATCTTTTCCACCCAGACTAATCCTCCTGCTTCGCTTGTGCTTGCCCTACACAGTGACTTATTTAGTAAGAGTCGCTCTTAGGCTAAAAGGTTTTCACCTGAGAGGCTTAGAGGAAGCAGAGCTTATATCTCTTTAAAGATAGAAGTTTATAAGGCAGAAATAATCAAGAAAAGTGAAGAACACCATATTGCAATCAGTGGCATAGTACTCTGGAAACATTTTACAGTTTTGTTTTGCAGCAGATTTGAGACAAGGCAAAAAGACACGGGATGTTAGAGGTAAAGTGAATAGGACACTGAATAGGATGCTTCGTCTTGTTCCAGATGTTCATTTCACTTAGCCCCTTCACTGCTGGTTCCCCGTCTCTCTTACACATCCGTCTGGCTGGCTGGCTAAGTTCACTGTAAGTGGGTAGAGCAGCCACTCGTGTGCAGGCACCTGCAGAAGAAACCCCGTGAAGAGTGAAAGGCAGTTGAGAGCAGGACCAGTCAGGCGGGCATCTGGGTCTCCTGCACGCCAGGCTGCAGAAAATGGTTTTAGGGAAAAACAAACATGCTTCCTGTCCCCTTGTTTACTAAGAAGAGAAATGTTAAGTGATCAAACTAAATAAATAATTGTAAGTGAGCAAAGTCTGTGGTGACGGAGAAGGACCCCGGTACGTGTGTGAGAGCGTATAGCTGAGGCTGCGGGTCTGGCCTGAGGAAGTGATGTCTGACTGAGACTTGAGGGCTGAGCCGGGGTTAGTCATACAGGAAGGAGAGGGAGGAGGCAGGAGGCACAGTGAGCTCCAGGACCTGGAGAGGTGAGAACGGCTTGACTAGGGGCCTGCGCCAAATGCAGTAAAGATACAGGACATGGGCGCCTGGCCACCACCACTGTCCCCGTCATGGAGTTGTTACGGGTGTTCCCCAGGTTCCTGATTGGCACAGCTGGTTTGTGGTGGAATGGGTTAACGCCAGAGGAGGAGGTTGGTGGGGGGATTTTGGTTGTTTGGGGGTTCATTTCATCAGTAAGTATTATAATGTACATAGGACTCCTGGCCTCTGGATTTTATGGATCTTAGGTCAGAAGACCTGAGCCTCAGCAGCTTTTGAGGAAGGAGGTGACTGTGGTTCATGGTTTTCCCTGATATTGGTGTGGCCCAGCATTTGTCCGTGGGCCAACCCAAAGCTCTCTGCCAGCTCAGTAGGTATTCCTTGATGTGTTCCTTTTGGACTGTTTTCAGAAGGAGAAGATGAGGATAAGGAGGAGGATGAAGACGGCGAGGAAGAAGAGTTTGATGATGAAGAGGATGACGATGAAGATGAAGATGTAGAAGGGGAGGAGGATGAAGATGAAGTCAGTGGGGAGGTCAGTGCACCTCCTGCTGCCCTGCTTCCCTCTTGGAGTTAAAGTGTGGACTGTTTAAAAAAGAAAACTCTGCTGAAGAAATTATTATACTTGTAAATAGACTAATAGTGGTTTGACTAATTTAGCTTTTGTCCCCCTTTTATTAAATTTTAATACTAGATGGAATACTTACTGAACCGCTAAACTAGACCGTGCTTGGCTATGCAGAGTAAGTCTTGACCCTTTAACTTTGGGAGGCAGTAACAAGTTGAGGATTCATTCAGTAGGGTGAGAGAGCTGGAAACATTGAGAACTGATGAGATGTCCTTCCTTTTGTTGTATTGAAAAGAAAGGTATCTTTACCAAGTCTAAGCTTCTTGTATATACAGCTTAAAGAAATAAGTACATTATTTACCTTCTGTGATAAACAGTTAAGGGTGCAAAGTTGAATAAAAATGTGGTCATACTCTGAAGGAGCAGGGAAGGGGTCTAACTTATGGGACGTGTAGTAATAACAGAGTCTCTGAGGAGCTGACGAAGAAGCCGTAGCTATCCTTCTAACCATGGAAGGATAAGAAAGGAGTGGCTTTAATCCTGATGGGGATTGGTAAAAACAGGCCAAGAAAGTTCAGTTCAGTCGCTCAGTCATATCTGACCCTCTGCAACCCCATGAGCCGCAGCAGGCCAGACCTCCCTGTCCATCACCAACTCCCGGAGTTTACTCAAACTCATGTCCATCGAGTCGGTGATGCCATCCAGCCATCTCATCCTCTGTCATCCCCTTCTCCTCCTGCCCCCAGTCCCTCCCAGCATCAGGGTCTTTTCCAATGAGTCAGCTCTTCACATCAGGTGGCCAAAGTATTGGAGTTTCAGCTTCAGCATCAGTCCTTCCAGTGAACACCCAGGACTGATCTCCTTTAGGATGGACTGATTGGATCTCCTTGCAGTCCAAGGGACTCTCAAGAGTCTTCTCCAACACCACAGGCCAAGAAAATTAGATATCATTAAAAAAATGTTCTTTTATAGTACAAATATAAGACTGAGCATTTGTATAATCTTGTAGATAGCTAATGAAATTAAGTTTCTGAAAGAAGCATTTTATTTATTTTAAAAAAGGGGGGGTGGATATAGAAATATTTGTCCAGGGACGTCCCTGGTGGTCCAGTGGTTAAGAATCCCCCTGCCAGTGCAGAGAACGTGGGTTGAGCCCCTGGTCTGGGAAGATCCCACGTTCCTAGGAGCAACTAAGCCTCTGCACCGTAGCTGCTGAAGCCCGCAGGCTCCGGAGCTCCCGCCCCACAACCAGAGAAGCCACTCGGTGAGAAACCTGGCGCGCTGCAGCCGGGGAAAGCCTGCCTGCAGCGGTGAAGGCCCAGCAGAGCCGAGGATTAAGTAATTAAGAAAAGAAATCTTTGTCCAAACCTGCTTTGAAGTTGAAGGTCTTAAAGTTAATTTTGGAGTTATCCATTGTAAGTTGTATACTAATGAAAAATGTCTGGCAAATAAAGTGCTTCTGAAAAGCAGTTTTTAAAGAAAATTTTTAGTTAAGCCCATTAAAGAAAAACCAGCAGCTCTCAGTATCCTAAATAAATAAAAGTAACGTTACAGTTTTCTCCTTGAATGAACTGTTAAGTTTATTGACAATTCTTATTTTTCTTTGTACTTCTCAGCTGGGCAGAATTAATCTAATAATGGTATGCTGTTAACCATTCTTTAGGAAGAAGAATTTGGACAAGATGGAGAAGTTGATGAAGATGATGAGGATGAGGATGAAGACGAAGATGAAGATGAAGGTGGGTTAAGGCATGCACTTTGGTCCCCTTCAGTTCATTAATACAGAATTGGAAATCATGGAGAAGAAAATAAAATACCTTTGGCCCTGGTGGTCTTCAGAGGCACTGATAAAGGCCTGTGAGTGTGTGTGTACTGGCTCACCCTCCTGCTCCACAGCAGGTAGTGATGCCTGTGTGAGGGAAGGAGGCCCTGGCCTCAGTCCCCGCATGCTGTGTTTTTAGACCCGGTCATTTGTGTCACTGTTAGGCAGGAGATTCCTGTGTTCAGAATTTATTCATTAAAAAAAATTTTTTTAATTGGAGTGTAATCTTTGCAGGATAGATAAATGGCACTGTTCCAGTTCTCCTTTCCCTGCCACAATTAAAACCAAAGAAAGACTTGTTTATTAAAAAGTAGATTTTAACACTGGTGTAAGTTTCAGAGCACTGAATTGTTTGCTGCGCTTTCTGTGAGTTTATACTTCCCAGCAGCATCTTTGCTCTGTGCCCGTCTCAGAACTAAATTTACTTTGGATACAGCAGTGATCAGGGCCTGGTCTCTGCCTTCAGGGGGATTTTTAAAACAGCGTTTAGTGCAGATTTAACTTCATAAAAGTAATCATGAGTTTAGTAGTTGAAAAGACAGAACGATGTGAAAGTCTCTGGGTCTCAAATACCTAGAGTCTAAGAAATCTCTTAAAAGTTACTGTGAACTGCAGTTTGAGTCTTGCCGTTTTCTAGGCTAAGTACTTTGCGCTGGTTCACCTAATCCTCAGAACGACCCTGTGGAGCCAGTGCCGTTGTCCCTATTTTACTAGTGAGAAAATAGGCTTAAGGAGCTCACCTCCTAGCCGTTAAGTTCGTTTTTGTTACTTCCAGTTGCAGCAGTTAGGGAAAGTACATATATGCCTTTCCAGTTGTCTCAAAGTGAATTTTTGTTCTCATACAGAAGAGGAAGAAAGCGGGAAAGGTGAAAAGAGGAAGAGAGAAACAGATGATGAAGGAGAAGATGATTAATAAGACCCCAGTAACCTGCAAAAAAAAGAACTGTTGAGTATTGGTTGGACTGCTGACATGGATTTGGTAGCTGTTTTTTTTTTTTTTTTTTTTAAAGGAAAAAAAAAAAGGTAGCTGTGATACAAACCCCAGGACACCCACCCACCCAAAGAGCCAAAGAATAGTTCCTGTGACATTCCACCTTCCTCCATTTAGTCCCTCTTGGAAATCCACCACCAAGCTTGGGGACTTCACCCCAACAAAATTGTAAGCGTTGTTAGGTTTTTGTGTAAGACTTGCTCTAGCGTTGGATAGCTGTGATTGGTGAGTCAACTGTCCGCGGCTGCCAGTCACACCAAGATTGTAACAGCATTTTTACTTTCTGTACAACAAAGAAGCTTTGTAAATAAAATCTTAACATTTTGGGTCTGTTTTTTTCATGCTTTTCTTTTCAAAGACTTTTTTTTTACATTAGGACATTGTGACAACTGGCAAAAAAATATTTTTAAGAATTTAAGTGAAATAAACACATTCCTCTTTGATAAAGCCTAGTTGTATGCTTACATTTGTAAATTAAGACTTTGTAAGCCTGTGTTATAAAACACACTAAAGAACTGGTTTCTTTGGTGTTTTTTTTATTACTGGTTGTTGAGAAATACACAAGTGTGTAGGATCTTTGAGCATTTAAACCTAATCCTCATTCTTGATGACTATGGAAGTAAATGATGTACACTTTTGAAAAATGATGTTTGAAATTCAGTGCTGTGGAACCCCGGAAAGGCAGTAAAAAATGTTAGGTCCAAATAATAGATGAATTAAGGAAAGGAGGGTCACATAACAGAAGAGTCCCAGGAGATCTGAGTAGTTCTGGCTCAGCTACTGGTTTCCTGTGTGACCTTGTGTTGCCCTCTGGATTACCTCCCAATCTATAAAATCGAGGGGGTGTGACCAAATGGCTTCTGAAAGTCTTTTGCAGCACTGATGGTCTCTGACCCTCACTGACGGGAAGGTCTGAAGGAAAAAATGAGCTTTGTGCTAAGGCTGAAACATGCAGGGATTGACTGACAGGTGGAGAGAGTATGGTTTCCAAGGCAGGCGTGCTAAGGAGGATGACATGTGAGAAGCTTGGCTGGGGAGCGGGTCGGCACTGCCTGAGGTCAGCTCGGCTTTTTTTTTTTTTTTCTTTTGCAGAAAGATGGAAATTTGCTCTCTTACGGATCTTAAAAGGACTTGGGGAGGGGGGTAAAATACTCTGCAGTCTGTATGCAGTGGTTAAATACACGTGTGACTTATCAATAATTTTTGTAGTTGGACTATAGAGGATTGTTTTGGTAACTCTTAGCTGTAAGCTACTGGAATGAGTGGGGTTTTACACATGTAAAAGCAATGTTAACGGTTGGAACCTAATCTGAATTTAGTTCTAGCAAAAGTTACATAGTGTCAGTGGACCCCCGAATACTGGGAACGATTGAAGGCAGGAGGAGAAGGGGGCGACAGAGGATGAGATGGTTGAATGGCATCACCAACTCAATGGACATGAGTTTGAGGATGTCGGGGATGGTGAAGGACAGGGAAGCCTGGCGTGCTGCAGTCCATGGGGTCGCAAAGAGGCGGACATGACTGACCAACAACAACAGCAACTAGGCTTTAGAATGGACGTTGCTTTTTACAAAGGAATATTAGGAAAGTCAATTTCTGGTTTGACATATTTTCCCCAACCACGAGGTCTTAATCAGTGCCCTTTGGCACACCTTCAATGCATTATAAAGTTATTTGTACAACCTAAGAGTTCATAGGTTTTGCATATATTGTCAAATAACGAACAGTAACTTCGGATGATTTTGTTTTCCTGCATTTTCAAGTTGATAGAACTTTTTGATATCTTCCAAGCTCTGGGATATGCCAGGCTCCCCTTGGCTGGGCAAGAGGGAGGGGGTTGGGATAGAGACAAGCCAGCTCTTGGATGCTCACTGGAAGTGTAAGGAAGAGAAGACGCGGAGTGACACTTGCCAAGACCCAGAACAAGTGGTCCAGCAAGAGGGTGATTCAGGGGTGGGAAGGGCAGCTTCCGACTGGGAGGGTTAGAGAAGTTCCCTAGAAAGGGAAGTATTTGAGCCACACATGCGGATATGGGAGACTAGAAACAGGAATGGAGAAAGGAGGGAGGAATGTGATGGACAGAGGTCAGAGGTAGGGGATTGCGCACGCTTGGCTTCAAATAGGCAAGTTTGACCAGAGAATGCGGAGGAAGAGAGGAATGGCAGGTGAGACATGAGCAGTGATTTGGGACCCTATCCCAGCGGGACTTGAACGGCAGAGCTTTTCTGCGCATTCATTTTACAAAATGTCAGTTTGACCTATGACCTGTGGCCAATGAGGATTTCTAGGGAACCATCAGACCTGCTTTTCCTTGTCTTAAAATGAAATTTTCCAGAAGCCTGTAACGTGCAGACCTCTGATAGGGCCTTGAGGCCTAGGTGCTCTCGACTGAAGACTTAAACTTCTTGAGAAACAGGCTACTATTTGGTGATGAGGTCACAGAGCAAACCCTGTTTCTGGAGTTCTCTCTCCTTTGAAGGAGACGTTGGAGTGGACTTGCTCTCCGCTTTTGCAGTGAATGTTTTAAGTTAAACATCTGAGCTGGGTGGGAGTTGTGATGGGCTGGATAACTGGTCCTTACCTGCCTCCTGCAGGGTGGGGAGAGGGGTCTTTCCCACACATAGCTGCCCTCCAAGGACCACACACAGGTCCAAGAACGACCCTGTTCTGTGTGACACGGAATGTCATGATTGCATTTGTCTTTTAAAAACAAAGGAAGGGTTAGGAACTTGCCTGGTGGTCCAGTGGTTAAGAATCCGCCTTGCAATGCAGGGGGCGCAGATTCAATCCCTGGTCAGGGAACTAAGATCCAACATGCAGAGCAGCTGAGCCCGCGCGCCACAACTCCTGAGAGCCCGTGTGCTCTGGGGGCTGTGTCCCACACACGATGCAGCTAAGACCTGAAGCAGCCAAATAAATATTTAGAAAACAGAAGAGACCTCTTGCTCCTTGTACATACGGGGAAACAGGCACAGAAAAGCATCAAGGGCTGGCCCAAGGCTTCCTGAGGAAGTAGTGAAAGAACCTGGCCCTGTTCTCAGCTTGGCTCTTAACTTTAGTTTCCTCCTGCTGTAGGAATCCAGGCCCTAAAGAGTGGATGACACTTCTGATGGAAATTCGGAGCACTTTTGTGTAAAATGCTCGCCCACACTCCTCGTCACCACCGCTGGGACTCCTACCTGGGACACGTGAGCAGAATTAGAGTCCTCTTCATATCTGGCGTCCTATCCGGGCTGCAGCACCCTCCCGTCAGGGAAGGACGAGGCAGAACCACGTGGTTCTGTCCCTAGGCTATGACCGCCCCTCTTCTCCAGCCCTGTCAGTTGTGCTGACAACAGTTTTAATGAGACTGGCGATACCACTGTGGTGACAGTTTGGAAAGGGACTCAAGTTACCAACTGACTTACGCTTCACCTGCCAAACAGTTGCTCTGCAGGAAAACCAGCAAGATTGAAGCAAGTGTAGAAGTTCTTTCTAGAGCCAATTAGGTCAGCTTCGTAATCTCCAAGTATATTACAACTTGTCCCAGAGGTGTCAGAAGGGCATTACAAAGAAAATGACCCTTACTCTGTCTTGTTAAGGGGACTTGACCCAGACCAGCTTGTGTATGTTCGTCAGAACACTGCCGCAGCCCAGCCCTGGAGAAGGGGAGTGGAGGTGTGGTGGGGGAAGCCTCAAAGAGAACCCGGAGATCTGTTCTAGCCCCAACCCGGCCACGAGCTGATATTTGACTCTCCTGAGTCATTTCCCTTCTGGGAACCTTCAGTTCCTCGACTGGAAAGATGAAGCCCACGCTTAAGTGAGCTTGCAGCCCTGATATAGCTATATACATTCGGGACAAGGTATATACACTCCCAAGTTCTAACCAGCAATAGACATGATAGTAGTTACTCAAGCTGTTACTCCCACTTACCCCGCCTTCCTGAGGAGCAGGTAAGGGTTTGGGCTGGTGGAAAATATGAAAGCTGTGCCTTAGGCTGATGCAGTAGAAGGGGATAGACCTGTAGCAAGAGGTCAGTGAGGAGGTGGTTACAGTTATCTGGACAAGTCTGCATGAGGGCTGCACCACTAAGTCTGATGGTGAATGAGGTGTCTTCCAAAAACTGCAACAGGGATACTAGTAAATCCATTTTACTACTGCAGTATTGGAGAAGACTCTTGAGAGTCCCTTTGGACTGCAAGGAAATCAATCCAGTCAATTCTAAAGGAAATCAACCCTGAATATTCATTGGAAGGACTGATGCTGAAGGTCCAATACTTTGGCCACCTGATGCGAAGGACCGACTCATTAGAAAAAGACCCTGATGCTGGAAAAGACTGAAGGCAGGAGGAGAAGGGGATGACAGAGGATAAGATGGTTGGATGGCATCACTAACTCGATGGACATGAGTTTGAGCAAGCTCCAGGAGATGGTGAAGGACAGGGAAGCCTGGTGTGCTGCCGTCCATGGGGTCGCAACGAGTCCAACACGACGGAGCAACTGAACAAGTCAGACTAGTCAGTCTGGGGAGTATCTATAGCATTATAGACTCACCGTAGCATGTGCAGGATGGATATCTGCCCCGGGGGGGCACTAATGTTCTGAGTTGGAGGGAGGGAAATTGTATTCCTCACTTCACAGCTGTGGGAACTGCAGGATTCAGAGGTGAAGAGCCTCCAAAGTTAAGTAGCCAGTAAATAGCCAGCCTGGCTGGAGTTCCAACCGAGCTCTGCCCAAATTCACAGCTTCTGCTGATGGCTAAATGCTCCTGCTTAGGACTGTCTGACTCCTGACTCTGTTCCAATGAGCATGTTAGTGGACCTATTTCTTCTCGGTCTGGAGCAAAGTAGATGCAGGCTAACATGAGGTTCAGGGCAGAGTAACAACAGAGCTAGTTTTCAGAAATGGAACCATGAAGTGTTTTAGGGGTGCAGACAGTGAA